TTAGGAAATCTATATTTCGGAAATTGAAATGACAAAAGAAAGTCACAAAAAAGAAAAATTGACAGAAGTAAAGAATTACTTTCAAAAGTTCAAATTGGAATCCCACATATATATTCTATTTCTTATCTAAAAATGTTCGAAAAATTTGGAAATGAAATTTTTTGGAATTAATAGCTGAAAATATTGTTCATAAATAACGATTTTTTTTTTTTGATGAAAGGAAAAAACGAAATTCAATTCCGTTGTAAAAACCAAAAATAAAAATAAAAATTAGAAATCAGAATTTCAAAAACTGGTATAAGAAACTTGTTCCAAAATGTTGAAATAGATAAAACTTTTTCAAAATCTTGAATCAGAATACGTGGAATCGGAATATTTAAATTATTATTCACATTGATTTTATAAGTTCAATTGTCGGTAAAAAATCTGAAATTTTGAAAATATTTACAGGAATTAAAATCAGATTGAAAATCGAATGTAACATGAATTCGAATTCCGTTAAAATGACGAAAAATCAGAAATCAAAATTTCAAAAATCAAAATGAAAAATGTTCTATAATCGTTGCAATTCAAAAACAATTATTCCAATTTCTACTCCCGCAACATTGCTCCGTATTATCAAAAGCCCATACCAAATATATATTTGGGCCTCCAATTCTTACCCACAATTCGAAATTCAATAATGTTTCTTATAGTATAGTATAGTCTTTTATTTATTTATATTTTATAATTCTTATTTATTTTTATCAAATAGTCTTTTATTCTTTGTGCAGAATATCCTTAAAGAAAACAAAAGAGGCCAAATAGACCCTCCATTCCATATCATGAAAATGAAATTGTGTGAAAAATCAAATCACAGGAAATAGACCCTTCCATTTCATTTCATATTACTTACTCGTTAAGAAGTTCGTCACCAAAGAATTTTAACAAATATGCATGAATTTTAGGACAAATAGATTTATTGGAATAAAAATATTCTTTCTTATTATTTCTCTCTTTGACTAATTACATCTCCATTAACTAGGAGCATAAGGGTAAATCTAGAAAAAAATGTAGTAATAAATAAATCAGAGATTTGAAGCTCTAAAATAACAAATAATAATGGGGTCAATTTGACAAGATCGGACCGGACAAAGATGGGCTTGCTGAGCCAAAAAACTCCAATGAGTAAGGGTTCTCCAAAATAGGCCAGAAGCTCGCTTTAGAAAAGCCCAATAGTACAAGGCTCACTAACAGATAGCTCGCATGTTGGACATGGTTCAAGCAACGTGAGACGAAATAGAAGAGGTAGGTGGCGAGCTAACCGAAGAGTCGAAATGAAGCGAATGGAATTAGGGTGGAACTGATTCGGGGGGATCTCGTACTTCTGAGAGATCGTTGTAAAGTATGGGTGAATGGGAAAGGCAAGACCAACATAGAACTAGCCTAATTGGAAGGTAACAACTTTTTGGGAGGCTAATGAGCTCGCTCATGCTCACTCGGACTCAATATCGTGTAACCAACGGGCATCCCTTTACCGTGCATGAACTTGTCTAAATGCTCGACCTTAATGAGTGAGCTCGGGGATACCCAAATTTCACCCTCCCCTTTCGTCTACCATTTTTGTGTCACTAGTCTAGGTCGAGATGAAGGATGTGGAGAGCTAGCGTTGGACAGGGTTCGAGAAGAGGTAGGCGAATTAGAGGGGACATAATGGGAAGGAGCAAAAGAGTTCTCAGAGGGGTCGAGTTTTCATCCGTGAGGGCTGATTTACTGTTTAGGCGAGATGAAGATGGGCGACCTACAAAATTTTCTTGCGACCTATTGTCGTTATCTTCTCTAGATCAAGAAGAGGAAGTGTTGTGGGCCGAAGAAGATGAGTGGGTGGCCATCGGTTTCAAGGGTAAATCGGTGAAAACTGGGAAAATTAAATAAACGAATAAGAAAAGAATACAAGGAGAAAAATAATGGTACCTGAAGCGTCTTCTCTAGAAATATAAAAGAAAACTTGAGACGACGTCTTGAATACAGCGGCAGACGATGGGCGAGAATATCAAAAGGTAGCAAAGAAGGAAAAGTGAAAAAAATGAAATGAAGAAAGAAAACAAGTATAAATAGTAAAGAAGGAGCGAGAAGACGAAAGGGCTTTCACCCCCGCCGTTAATCTACTAATAAACGAGCAGGTGTGGTGAAAACATGTGGTAGATGAAGGTCTCGGTACCCCCAGATAAATTCAAATTAGGGACACGTGGCCACCAATGAACCTTTTGATCTTGAGTTTTTGATTTCATTTTAATCAAAAGATTACCTATACCTTCGGGAAACATGTGCAATTGGCACGTAAGTCAAAAAGACACTGCAACGATGAAGGCGTGCAAAAACAACTGTTGTTTTTTGAGGCAAATGAGTGGTTAGGATCGTTTTGCGCGATTCCCTAACGAACTATTCCATCTAGGGAAATGCGTTCTCAAGGAAACCACTTTGCAAATTATTCTCCAGCAAACCATACTGCTCTGTCCAATAGTACAAGGCCCACTAAAAGATAATTCGCACAAGACGGTGTTGACTATAGTTCAAGCCACGTTTGAAGGAATTAAAGAGATAGGTGTCAAGTTGAACGAGGAGCCGTTGGAAGGACGGATTTAAAGATATCTTCCAAAGATAGAGATAAGAAAAATATACAAATTAGGGGCATACAAATTAGGGGCGATCGTCATAAAATCAACATAAATCTTGTGCAAATATAAAATTAGTCAAATAGGAAAGATCCCCATCCATGAAATTCATATATAGACAAGTGAAAGAAACCTTATGGACTACGGGGGTCACATTCTAACAATCAATAATACACTCCATTTTCGAATTCTCTCATTCTCTCTTGTTTTTATTCTTTTTCTGGTCGATTAGTTCGTTTTCGTCGGCCAAATACCGGCACCGAATGCACTATCCTACAACCAAAAGAATTGGATTTGGAGGAAAGTCTTAAGGGTATAAATTTTGCACCGTTCAAATAATATGAAATAAAAAGTTCCATACAAAATGAGTAATTTAAAATGAAGGGAGCAAAATAATATTGGACTTTGTTCATAGAGTTGCACATTTTTGCGCTTACGACGTCGTATTGGTTATCTCATCTGCATGGGAATGATAAATTGGGTGATAAAAGTCATAAATGTTAGATTTAATTCCCACTTCTCCCAACTTTAAAAATGACACTCAACTTTTCCTTTAAAATTTTACATGTATTTGTAACTCTTTAAATATATGATTCCTTTACCTTATAATATATGGTTAAAATCTCTATAAACTAGTATAGTCGGAATTAGCAAACTTCTATTAATTTAATAAAATATTATTGAACTAATAATTTTAATGTGTTTTCATCAAGTCAGGACCACAAAAAATTATTATTGAAGCGAAACTATTAATTTATCGAGGTTCTATTGTATTTCATTTTAAACATTTTTAGTTGTTTTTACCGTAAGTCTTGTATTCGTTTTACACTTTTCAGTTTTAGAAAAAACTTCACATGTTTTTATATTACTATATTAAACAATAATATAATTAATATGACTGTCAACCACAGCTATATTCATGTTTAAACGGGCCAAAATATGTTGAAGAAAAAAAATTGAAAATTTTCAAAAAAATAAAGAAAAAGAAAAAAAATCAACGCCGCTGGAGATCGATGTTGACCGTCGGTAAGCATCGGCATAAAGAAAATTAATCAAAAAAGTCAACACCGGAGACTGGCGTTGACCGCCGGAAACTGACGGGATAAAAAGACAGAAAAAAAGTCAACGCTGGAGACTTGCGGCCAACAGCGGCGACGAGCGAAATTATAATCAAAATTGGGCCAGTGGTCAAAACTGAATAATCGGTGAAATTTAAGGTATTTTAGTCTTTTACACACCTTTGGACATTGTGTGGATTTTTTGTAAAATAATTTTTGTCGGACCTCTTTATGAATAAGTAGCCTAGATGGACTTATTTGTAATAGACCCATAGTAGAAATAGTGTGATTCTTCTGGAGAGCTCCGAGGGTGTGTTTTTTATGCTATAAATAATAATAATGTCAAATTACGAAAAACCCTCTCATGTTTGGGTAATTACAACCACTTCATCAACTATGAATCTTCTAAAAATGTTCATCATTGCAGTGTCAAATTTAGTGGAATCTTCTTGATTATGTGGAATATTCTCCACTTTATATCCGTTTTACCTCATCCGAACTCCACATTTTGAAATAAAATGATCATAAGATGTGTTTTTTGGCTTGTAAATATTAGATTGTGGTGCATCAGAAACTGCATTTTTGTACGAAACGAGTACATACTAGAGAATATTCCACTGAATCTAAAAGATTATATTGAATTTAACACCATAAAAATGTATGTATATGAAGATTCCTAAATTGAAGGGTGATTGTAATTACACCCAAGAAATAATAATGACAAAAAACAGAGTAGTTTTAACAACTCTATATAAATACAGGGTTCCAAATGCAATTAACTCAATTATTTAATCCTATTACTAAAATACCGTGGCAGATATTTTATTAGATCCCTTTAAATACAATACATTAATTAATTTATTTATTTTCTCCTCCTTAAAATAACAATTGTGTCCCCACGTATTAAAATCTTGTACCAACTCATTCGACACTAATACGTGTCTCTCTGCTCCTCTTACAAATTCAAATCTGATCAATTAATTCATTTCACTTTTCCCTAGAAAACTTCTAACCCAAAATTATTTATACAGATCATCAAGAAGAAAAAAAAAAAAAAAAAAAAAAGAAAAAAACACACGAACAAAAGTACAAATCAAATACTAAAAACTTTTTTTATTTTTTTTGTCAACTCTGCAGCATCTTCTTCTTTTCTTGAAAATAATGTACTAATAATAATAATATATCTGTCTTTTTTTTTTTTTTTCAATTGCTTTTGTAGGGTACCCAATTTATTATTACCATGTGTGTGTGTATATCAGTCTGTATATATATATATACACAGATATATATATAAATGGGGGGCACATTCGAATAATTAGAAAGGGAATATGCTTTCCACGCCAACTGTTGTTCAACGCTCTCACCCTTTGGCGGTTTATTGTTCGTATGAAGTGTTCTTCTCGCATGTGGGTATGTTTTTTTTTTTTTTTTTTTTTTTTTTAATTTCTTGATTATCCATCTTTATTCAGCTCGATTTTTCCAGTTATTTTTATTAATTATTTTTTTCTCTCTCTCTCTTGATTTGCTGCCCTGTATAAATAATTGGGATCTCAAAGATTTGACCTTTATTGCGTTTCTTGATCTGGGCTGCCGATGAAATTTCATCTTCTTTGAGGGAAATTGAATTCTTGATCGAATCGGTAAAAGGGGTTTTTGGGGATAATGGATTTTTGTATTGTCTGAATTGATTTTCAAGATTCGATTTTTATTCAATTCTTGAAAAGATGCAAGCTGTGGGGAGATTGGGTAGCTACATAAGTAGAAGTGTGTATACCGTCTCCGGCCCCTTTCACCCGTTTGGCGGTGCTGTCGATATAATCATAGTCGAACAACCCGACGGAAGCTACAAGTCGTCTCCTTGGTACGTTCGGTTCGGGAAATTTCAAGGGGTTTTGAAGACGAGAGAGAAAGTCGTTAGCATTAGCGTCAATGGAGTCGATACCGATTTTAATATGTACTTGGATCATAAAGGGGAAGCTTTCTTCTTGAAGGAGGTCGAAGTCGAGGGGTTGGATTCCGTGTGTTCGCCTCCGTCGTCTTCCGGTGAGGACACGGAGAAGCAATTGAAAGATATGCCGTCGCTGAAGTCGAAGAGTTGTAATGCCGATTCTAATTGGTCGGATTCGGTTGGAAGTGAGACAAAGGCTGTGACGAAAACTAATTCGCGAAGGTCGCAGATTTTTGGGCTTGTGTTCGGGAGGAGGTCGAACAAAGAGGAAGGGAGTATTAATCGAGGGGAAGAAAATGTTAGGTCACAGTCGATGGAGCGTGCTGAGATGGCGGCTGATTTGATGGATTTGAAGTGGTCGACTAATCTTGCTTCTTCCCCAAGAGAAAATAAAGACAATGGCGTTGAGATCGAGTACTTGGCTTCGGCGGAGTACGTCGTCGAAACAGCCACTTCAATCGAAAGGGTTATTAGAGAAGAAGATGTTACTATTTCTTCGAATTCGGAAACGGGGATTAGTGATGAAATTGGGTTGACTATCTCTGAGGTGGCGAAATCCGATTTGAAAAGTCAAGAAAGCTCGGGAATTGGGTCGGACGGACCACCGATTGAAGAAAAAAACGAATCTTTTTCTCATGGAGGATGTGAGGAAGTTCGTGTCTGTACTGAAACTGTTGACAATACGACTCGGTTAATATATTTGGTGGAGTCCGAAACCATTTCAGCAGAAGAAGACGAGGTGAAGGAGCCTCTGTGTGGGCCCCACATCTCGATCTCCGAATTCGGTCCGCAAGAGTTGATAATCTCAAAGGAAGAGCAACTATTCTTCGGTGAAGAGAAAGAAGCCGATTGCCCTGTTTTCTCGTTGGATCAGTCTGTTATAAACGATTATTTAGATGAAAGTAATCTGCATAGGGTGAGGTTGAGATCTGTATCGAGCGATGCGTGTATTAACGAAAACGGGGATTTCGTTCACACGAGGGAACTCACTAGAACCGGGAGATCTTTGCCTAGTATGGCCCATCTTGGCGATAATCTTGAAACGGGGGATTTTGTCGATTCTTTAGATTCTTCACTTTATCTAGGTGTCGATTCCGATGTTAAAATGATAGTGAAGAGTGACGAGGAAGTTGCTAAACCGTCGGACAATGGTAAGAACAACAAATTTTTTGTTATTGCAGGATTATAATTTGCTGTTATATCTTAGATGTTTTATGCATGTCGATTGCAATGTCTTAAAAACATTGACGTAAAAAACGGAGTTTTGGACATTTGATACTGAAAAACTTCGACAAGTAGTGTTCTGTTATATTATATCTCCTGGTTGTATATAAGACGAAGAGTTGTGTTTACTCAATAGTGCATTCTACTTCCCTTTATGACTTTTACGACGTGAAATAAAACGAGTGTCCTCAAATATTCGAGTGTTTATTATGTTTCATGCGAATTCGTACTTGAAGCTTTAATTTACAACATGTTTGACTGTTATAAGTTTTGTAGGGAATTCTCCTCGATCCATAATAGATCCTAGTGCCATAGAGATTCTAAATAAGTCCGGTAATTTGGAGGGGGCGAAAAATTCGACCAAATCGGACGTGAAAAAGAAGATAGTGAAGACACTTACTCCGACATCCGAACAGCTGGCATCCTTAAATTTAAAAGAAGGGAAGAATATAGTTATATTCACCTTCTCTACCCCAATGCTCGGCAAACAACAGGTTACTTCTTCTTCTTCTTTTTTTTTTTATTTTTTTTTTATTTTTTTTATTTTTAATTTTTAATTTTTAATTTAATTTAATTTTTATTTATATGCTTGTTCGATGCAGGTTGATGCGCGGATTTTTCTGTGGAGATGGGATACTCGAGTGGTGATCTCTGATGTTGATGGGACAATTACTCGGTGAATAATTTTATTTTTCTCGATTATTTGTTTCCCATTTTCTTGTTATTATATTGCTTATTGAATTTGTTACGTGCTCGATATTTATTCAGAAGCATTGTGTGTTGGATTAAAATATTAATTGTTGCTATACGATACAGGTCTGATCTTCTAGGCCAGGTCATGCCTTTGGTCGGTATGGATTGGTCCCACACAGGCGTTGCACATCTTTTCTCTGCAATTAAGGTCCGTTAATCTCCGTGTATTTTCACAATCGAGAACTTAAAAAAAAATCATTTTTATCGTATGATATTGATATAAAAAATGTAATTTTTATTGTTTCTGTACATGAAGAAAGTTTTGGTATTTTGTATATGTTTTTTAATGGAAATGGTTTCAACTGCTTTTTTGTCGTGCAGGAGAATGGATACGAGTTACTTTTTCTAAGTGCGCGTTCGATTTCTCAGTCCTTTCTTACCCGACAGTTCCTCTTTAATATCAAACAGGTATATCTTTTTTTCTTTTCTTACGAAAACGTATCATTCGGTTATAGAAATTACAATCCGCATACTCGAATTTGGAACTTTTTTCTTATGCCTTTAATTTGAGTTGATTTTATCGTTTCAGGACGGAAAAGCCTTACCGGAAGGACCTGTCGTTATCTCCCCCGACGGACTTTTTCCTTCTCTGTTTCGCGAAGGTCGTTATTTACCTCCAATTTCTGTTATTTATCCGCATATTAAAAATATTATCTCGTGTGCATATAATATTGGGTAAATTACGGCCACCCCCAGAGGTAAGTAAGATACCTCAGGTCAATTACGAACCCCCCCCTCCTGTTTGGGTAATTACAACCACGTCCCTCAACTATGAATCTTCTTACGTGTCCACCCTTGTGGTGTCAAATTGAACATAATATTCTAGAATCCGTGGAATGTTCGCTAGTTTGCTCGTCTTGTGCAAAAATTGCAGTTTCTGATGTTCACAAGCCAAGAAACACATTTTATGATCATCTTGTTTCAAAACGTGGAGCTCAGAATGCTGTAAAACCGGTACAAACTGAAGAATATTCCACATAATCTAGAACATTCCACTAAATTTGACATCTTAAGGGTGAACGTTGAAGAAGATTCGTAGTTGAGGGGTGGTTGTAATTACCTAAACAAGAGGGCTTTTTTCGTAATTTGACCTTACCTCAGGGGGTGGCCGTAATTTACCCTATAATATTTTCAGAATTTTGGACCAGTATGTTTAATTATGTCTCGATAAAAAGCTTTTCGTAGATAATATTTTTTCTGGTTTTGCAGTTGTTAGAAGAGCTCCCCACGAGTTCAAAATTGCTTGCTTGGCGGTTAGTTACCTTTAATTTTTTTTTTTCTATTTTCCGTCGTGAATTATTTTATCTGATTTCTCGTAAATTGTTTTTACAGGATATAAAGGCATTGTTTCCTGCTGATACAAATCCATTCTATGCTGGTTTTGGAAACCGAGACACCGATGAGTTTAGTTATCTTAAGGTTGGAATCCCGAGAGGAAAAATATTTATCATAAATCCAAAGGTAATGTGACAAATTTACCGTTAATTACAGATTGTACCGTTAATTTAAATATTTTTCTCATTTTTTTTTGTCAATATATTAATATATTACAGGGGGAGATTGCAGTAAATCGCCGTGTGGACACCCAATCATACGTGTCTCTTCACGATCTTGTACATGACATGTTTCCCATTATGTCCTCTACTTCTGACGAACAGGTCGGTTTTTTTTTTTAAATATTAAATATATAATTTTTTTTTTTATACTTGTAGTTATGTTTGATTGGAAGCATTATATTTAGTGACATCCAAGAACATCAACGAGGGTGTTATTGTCGTAAAGATTATGTATTTGTTCTGCAACATTTTTATTTATTTTCTGATAAAAGTGAATTTTTCAAATCTTGCGAAATTTAATTGGTAATTTTGGGTTTCAGGAGGATTTTAATTCATGGAATTTCTGGAAACTTCCAACACCAGTTATTGACTTTTGAAGGTTGTAGTAATTCGAAGTGGACGTAGGTAAGTAGGCGGTTTTCTTCAAGAACCGAAGTGTAAAGGTAACTTTTAAATTCTAAATTTGCTACGTCGTAATTAAATGTTTCTCTTTTCGATTAAAAAAAAAAACCCAGAATATTACAGAATGATATCTGTTAAGTGAAATTACAAAGGTTTTTTTTAATTATTTATTTGTTAATTTTTATTTATTTATTCTCAGGACAGTGATGAAACGGAGAAATTCATCCTCAAACACGAAACACATGATTATTATCGAATTTCAATAGTCGTTGAATGGCTCTCGCAGCCGCCTTTGTACACAATTTATTACCACAAAAAAAAGTTGGTTTCGATTTCCTTTGGTTTTCTTGATGCTGGAATTTTATTGGCAAAGAGAGTGGGGATTTTGGATTGATATATTCTTTGGTATAATAATGTAAACATAGAATTTTTGTAAATTGTAAATTGTAGAACACAATTATGGTCTATAGATATATTAGTGGTTCCACAATATGGTGTAAATGTTTATTTGGGGATTCCAGTGGACTGATTTTTTTTTTTTAATTTTTATATTTTTTTTAAGAGGAAAATTACCACAGCCAACAAAAATTGATCTTTATTGAGAGATTTCCGAAGAAACTCCAACCAACACCAAAACGAAGGAAATTTCGAAATTATGAAAATCAACCCATCTATCTGTATTCTTTAACTATTTATCAAATCCCCTGATGTTTGTTTTCATCTTATACCGACCCCCTAATGGTGTGATTTTTCACGAAATTTTTTTGAGCCCAGAGAATATTTTCCGAAAAATGTCGATTCTACCTCAGCAGACGTGACATTTCTTTTTACTACTTTTTAAAGATAAGAATTACCCCTAGGGGATCTTTACACGGTATCTTTATTCTTCTTAAATAATACATTCACAAATTTTTAGGATTACCATTACCACCCTGAAGGTAATTATTGTCTTTCAAAAGTAGCACAAAAAAATGCTACATCTGCAGGCGTGGAATTAACATTTTTCGCTAAATATTCCCTGAAATCAAAAGGATTCTGTGAAAAATCACACCGTAAGTGGGTCGGTGTAAGACGAAAACAAACTTCAGGGGATTTTGGTAATCACGGATAGGTGGGGTTATTTTTCGTAATTTAGTCTAAGTTTAAGCGGTGTTCCGTAATTTATCCTAAAACAATTCAAGTCCCAGAACACAACGCCTCCAAGCTCCTTAGATTTGCATAACTTCGACCAAGCCAAACGACGACATTGATTTGTTTCCTCCGTTTCCCCACCAAAAAACGTCGGGTAGCTGCTTCCATTTCTCGTACGTACGAGACCCCGCGGCAAAAGAAAACAACTCATGATGTAAATCTCTCCCGGCAAGAATTTGGAAGTATATATACAATGAAAGAAAAATCTGATTTTTCATAAAAATAGTGAATATAGTTTCAAATTGACAAGTAATTAACCAACAAGTACTCTACTTTCAGTCTACAAAGACCTGAAAATTGAGTATTGCATAGAAACGAAAATTAAATCAAAATAATGAGCCAAGTATAAGATGCTTCACATATATTTTTCATCCAAATATATATGTTTATATATATATTTTTCTCATCATTTAATTGCATATAATTTAGGTACGAGCTAGAAACCCCCATGAGGTTTGAGTAATTATGAAAATTCCAATGAGGTTTGCTGTCGTCTTACACAGCCCCCTAAGGTGTTACTTTTAACATAATCATTTTTATTCCAAAATATCCTTCTAAAAATGTCATTTTTGCCATTTAACATGTGACACATGTAAGCATATTAATTATTTAGGGGTAAATTGTATTATATTTAAAAATATATTTATTTTTTATTTTAAAACTAAATATATATTAAAAAGAGTAAATTACAACCACCCCCTGAGTTATGGTCAATTTACAAAAAAAACCCTCTTGTTTTGATAAGTACATCTACCCCCCTCAACTATGATTTTTTCTTACACATCCTCCCTTATGGTGTCAAATTCAACATAATCATCTAGATTTCGTGGAATGTGCATTAGTTTGTACTCGTTTTGTGTAAAAATACAGTTTCTGATGCACCACAATCTGATATATACATGACAAAAAACACATATTATGTTCATCTTGCTTCAAAATGTGGAGTTCGAATGAGATAAAACGGGTACAAAAGTGATAATATTCCATATAATCTCGAAGATTCCACTAAATTTGAAATCGCAAGGGTAGAAGTCTAAGAAGATTTATAGTTGAGGGGTGGTTGTAATTACCCAAACGAGAGGGGGGTTTGGTAATTGGACCATAACCTCAGGGGGCTAGTTGTAATTTACCCTAAAAAAATTATATAATTAATAATTAAATATATCATGTAACAATAAAAGTTTTATTTGATTTATAATTTATTTGTTTACATTTTATATTTTTTTATCAAACAAAAGCGATTATACATATTTTCATAATTTTTATTCTATAAAATGGAGAGAGAGAGAGAGAGAGAGAGAGAGAGAGAGAGAGAGAGAGAGAGAGGATGAAAGACTAATATTACACATCATACAAAATGCAAAGTTTATTATCATTTTCTTTTATTTATTTTTTTAATTCCCTGTGAGGGTATAAATATTTCCATATAATTAATTAGCATCGTTTTAATTATTTTAGACAATTAGTCAAGGGAGGCGTAGTAGGAGTAAGCACATGACCCAAAGCATTGTTACAGACAACATCGGGCTTTGCAGAGCCCGATGGCGTTAGGTTTATGGAGGAAATCGTTAAATCAGAGCACGCTTTGTATTGACTGCAGTCAAGGGAAACTGGTGTAACAGTATATGTTCCTGTTATACCCTTGTACGTCACACCGGATATCGCCACCGCATTCGTAGTCGTGCCGGAGCAGCCGTGGGCCCCATTGCAGTAGTTCTGGTCTATTATGATTGGATTGTGCACGTTGCTCATTGTGATGCCCGAGAATGTTATGTTGTTCACCGACCCGGTCCCATCCTGTACGGAGTTGTAACGAAAATTCAATTTAATTTTCACTATGAGAAAGAGAGAGAGAGAGTTTAGTTTTGATAACGACCTGCCAAGTTTTAATCCGGACGCCGTAGAGCGCGTCGGATAATGTAGAATCGTAAACATTAATATCGGAAACGTGAGCTTCGGACTTGTCCGGTCCCAATCCACCAATGCTGAAACCATGTCCAGGTCCACAATTCACGTTATGTACTTTAACATCACTGGTTCCGGTTTGTATCGAGACACAGTCATCTCCTGCAAAATTTAATGTATAATTATTTACACATACACACCATTCATAGAGAGTATATTCAGTGGCGAATTTAGGATTTTATTACTGCAGGGGCCGAATATACATTAGAAAATAAAGTTAAAAAAATTAGTGACAACAACAATTGTTCTAAGGAGTGGTGAATCTCGGATTTTGCTAATGGTACGGTGAGTTTAAATTTTCGGGGTTCCCCAATTTACGCACCACAAGCAATATTGCTGCTGTAAATTTCCACGTGCTGAGCATGTGTTAAATGGATCCCGTCAGTGTTGGGGCTATCGCCCGGAGAAGAAATGGTGACGTTGAAGATGGTGATGGATTGGCTATTGTCGATATAAATGTGCATCCGAGGGGCATTTTGGACTTTTATTCCTGATATCGTCACTTCCGAACTATCCACAATTCTCAATGCCTGCACCTCAAACGTTTTCTTAAAAGAG